TTGTGTATAAGTACGGATGATTGAATTCATGTTAAGTTACCATTTTACGAAGTACGAAGATGAGACCGAAAGAGTAAAATAGCATCAAGCAAAGCTGAAGAATGATTTAGTGACATAGAAGAAAGCATTTCCGGCAGCAAGACCGACTCTAACGCAAAGGATGGCAAGGAAAACTGTAAATTATACCTTCACCCTTGCACTGAGTGTTACCCCTGAAATTGAAAGAAAAGTCACAAATTTTTTCAGCTTAAATTTGAAGCCACTCATTAGCGCAAAATTGTGCAACCTCCAATAGGATATCGGCAATTGTTTAAAAATGCTAAATCGACATAGTAATTGCGGAGGGGTATCAGTTCTATTCTATTCGTCATTGTCAGTCAGACCGGTCCGTGGGACCTTCGCTCTTTGTTAAAGTATTGTAGGTCATTATGTCTGTCAGGTCTGCTTGCCCAGATACCAGATGAAGTCAGGGAGAAAGAAAGGAAGAAGAAAGAAAGGAAAGAAGGGGGAAGAGCAAAGAGGATGAAGTGCGCCGGTTTAAGGGATGCCTTGCTATTGTTAACTGGTATTCGGTAAATTTAAATTAAACAAAAAATTAATTTCGGAATTTATGTGTGGCAAAAATCGTAATTTTGGTTGGATATAGAATTACACGATTTGATTTTGATCACAGTGCGAGCCGCGGTCTTGTGTGCTTGCGAACTTGCTCGACTGTGTAGTCTACTGTGCGATTCCGCTTAGCTATAACGTAACTGCGCCTGATGTTTGATGTAGTCCCTTAGGTAAGGGATGTCGAGGTATCTGTGAAGGGTCTCGTTGGAGACATACCATGGTGCGTTAGTGATGGTTCGCAAGGTTCTGTTCTGCAAAACCTGCAGATTACGCATATGCATTTTGGCAAGAAAACACCATGCTGCACATGCGTAAGTGTTTGCTGGTCTGATAACCATCTTGTATAGCCGAACTTTGTTAACCAAACATAATTTTGAGGTTCTACATAGTAAAGGGTAGAGTTGCCGAAACGTAATTTGGAATTTATTTTTTAACATTGTACTGTGATTCTGCCAGGCCATCCTCCTGTCAAGAGTGACACCGAGATACTTAGCAGAATTTTCCCATGGTATGCGAGCTCCATTCACTGAAACCTCAGGCGGGGCGCCGCTACGTTTTATAGTACGATAGCCTGCGTTTTCGAGTAACTAATTTTAATTAGCCACCGATCTGCCCATTCCAATACCTCATCCATCGCACTTTGTGTGAAAAGTGAGGATTAGCCCTAGAAGCGAACCCTGAGGGACGCCGGCCCTGATGGGTCGTACTGTCGACCAGAAATTATTAATTTTGATCCGAAATTTCCTACCTTCAAGGAAGGATTTCAAAAGTTTTAGGAGCGAAAATGGAAAGCCCTGTTGTATTAGTTTATCGAGAAGGCCTTTGTGCCACTCCTTGTCAAATGCCTTCGAGTCATCCAGAGGCAAGATGCCAGAACTTTCGTTAAGGGTGAAGCCCCTGGTTACTCGCTCCACAAGCCTAACCGCCTCTAACTCCGTACTATGCTCAGACCGAAATCCAAATTGCACGTCAGGAATCACATGGTGATCTGACGAGAAATTCGCAAGGTCACCTTTTCAGCGAGCTTAGATGGAGCAGACAGTAGGCTGATGGGACGATAGTCCTGGGAAAATATCGAACCCACCTTCTTTGAAATCGTTATAACTTCCGCAGTCTTCCACGCTGATGGAAAGTACTGTGTCCTTAGCGTGGCACTGATAATAGCCACGAGATAAGTCAAGGACTTCCGTGAAAGCAGCTTCAGCGCCTGATTAGTGATTTGATCCTTCCCAGGCGCTGTACGCATCTTGAGGTCTTTAATATTACCTTGAAGCTCTGCTGGTGTGCAATGCGAGATCTCGGGAGAAGCCGCTGATGTGCAGTGCAACTCTTCAGCTGAAGTATGGCGGCGCCGGGATCACTGACGCTGTTGGCCCTAAAATATCTCCTGACGGATCTTACAATTTGTTGCTCCGTGGATGTGCGGGAGTTGTTCTCGCTTTCCGTTTCTGAGCGACTTCGCCACTTTCCAGAGAGGAGTACTTGAGTCAAGCATCCCTGCCAGAAAATCGTTTCATTGCTCATTGCGGAATTCATGGAGAGCATTTCTTACTTCATGAACAAGATTCGTCGCTCTGCGAATGTCATCAGGATGGGGTATCAGTTAATACACCTCAACACCCCTTCCAATTTGTTCCATGCTACAATCGTCATGACCATGCAACGCCAAAATGTACTCGCAGCCCACACGAAATACAGATAGGATTATATTATAGAGTCTTTAAAATCAAAAAGAATATCCTAATGCTAAAAGAAGCGTGCATTTTAAATAGTTCGTTAAAAATCAACCCAGTACACTTTCGTAAGTGTTTGGACCAAAAAACTCGAGTAGATTAGAAGGACCCAAGCCTATATGTTTACATTGCATTGTTTGTCGCCGAACTTGCCTAGTTTTAGAGCACAGTATTGACTCATTTGTCTAGCGATGCCTACCAAAGTGACAACGTTGTATGAACATAATAATAACACTTAAAGGTGGAAGAACCTACCTTCATTATGCTTCTGCAGCTTTTGCGAATTATGTAAGAAGCACCATGTCTAGAAGTGTAAAAAAATTAACATGTTACGTTCACTACAGACTATGACAAACGTCCTTGACCCCTTAAACATGTTTGGTATCTGGGTAGCCAAACCTGACAGACTAACAGACCGACGAGACTTTTAACTAAGAGCAAAGATCCACCGGACTGCTCTGACGAATAATATAGTATACGTCCTTGACTGGCTCCGTCTACCTAGTCTAAATTCGTTGGTTGGTACCAAAAACATCGAGTTCGTGTTCAGGAATCGAGACCCGTGGAATCGTTCCTTTGCATCGATAAGAATCGGAATTAAATGAATCGTGCACGAATCGAATGGATCACTGTAATATTTGAAGCTTATCCTGTGGTTTTCATGTTGGTAACCCCCATGTTTGTCTGACCTGGCAGCAGCGATGGCCGCAGTAGTAGAGTAGACTCTTCGGTCTCCTGATCATTCGCCGTGCGCTGTGCGAGTTCTAATCCCGTGCCAGGAGAAGTTTTTCTCTTGGCTATGGATGTTGTGATTATCCGTAGGTAGTAGACGGTCTCTGACTGTCGAACGCGGAGGTACCACCCGGAGGATCTCGTAGGCGGGGCCAGAATGTGTGCATGTTGTATGCACACGTGTTCCCTCGCCAGGGTCCGTGTGGCGTTCCCCCTTTCCCCTGTATCCCCTATAGCCCCACGGTACCCCCTGGGTGTTTAGGCCTTCGTGGTGGTTGGAGTATTAAAAAAAAATGTTGTACGAAGTGCTGGAACCGTGCGGTGTAAGAAGAGCAAGACCCATCTTGGCTTTTTAGAAAATGTTACTTTGGCCTGTCCACTGGTGACCGTTTTCATATTATCGCCACTTTATTTTTCATTCATTCTTGTATTTTATGTTTTAATGGAATATTCGAAAAAGTATTACGAACTCATTTTTGCAATATTCGAGGTCTGTAAATTAAGTGACGAGACCGATTTTTTTTTAATTTGTTTATTCAAATGTAATAGCAATTTTATATTGTCACCCTCAAAATAACTTCCTTCTGAAGCCACACAGCGCTGGAGACGGTTCTTCCACTCCTCATAGCAGTGCTATAGTAGAACAACGATACTGGAATAGCCTTCAGCTGGTCGGTTACAGCCGTTTGAATGTTTTGGACTGTCCCAAAATGAGTTCCCTTGAGGTGATTGTCCAACTTCGGGAAGAGAAAAAAGTCTCTAGGACTCAAGTCAGGTGAACAAGCAGGCTGAGAAGCCACGGACATGTTTTTACTGATCAAAAACTCGTTTATTGACATTGCTGTGTGACAAGGAGCATTATCGTGATCCAACACCCAGTTGTTCTTAATCTGATGAACTGTGGTGTTAGTCAAACTTAACTCTTCCTTAATCATTCTGATTGTCAACCGACGATCTGAACGGAAAAGATCCCGGATTCTGTCGATTTTTTCATCGAATCTTGAAGATGAAGACCTTCCGCCTCGTAGTTCATCTTCGATCGACTCTTTCCCTTCTGGAAATGCCTTAAACCAACGAAAACCCTGTCTAACTAGAGTATCAGTTGTACTGTACCCAAGTCTGAAGCAAAACCTAATAGCACGTCGTTTCTTGAAATTGATGTCCCGCATTTGTAGAACACAATAGTAAAAACTGTTTCACAAAAAAATTGTTACTGACAACCAAATGACTCGAGCGAGTTCAAACTTGTACTGAAGGCGGATCACATGGTCCCCTGTCTCCCCTCCATCCCGGAACCTCCAGTGTTGCCAGGCTAAACGGTACGTTGCCAGTCTCATCAACGTAATTTACATACGTCGTACAGTAGACTCGCACTTGTTAACTATATGGAAAATTTTTAAAATCCGCTAAAACAACAGTTGTTATATACCAACTTTATTAAGAATAAAACGGCTATAAGCATAATAGTATGTACTAATAAAAAAGTAGTTAATTCTTTTTTTTAGAAAATGGGGTAATTTTGGTTTGTATTTTTGTCTCATAAAGGCTTTTTGGATTATTTCATTTCCTAAGTTTTGTAAAATGCGTATACTGGAGCATTCCACTCCACCTTTTCAACCCACTGAATTACCTTGTTAATTGATTTGATCGCAGATTCAGTTGTCACACGTTCTCTTATTAATTCAATTTCTTCCGGTTATTGACCATTTTCATCGCTTTCGCTGAGGTTTTCAGTTTCTTAATCCGCTAAAATGTCGTTATTCCAATCATTTGCATCAGAAGGGTGAATGATGACATCGGGAATAGCGCATATAGTAGATTTGGCAACACCATATTCTTTGGATAAAACAGTCACTCTGACACCTGTCTTTAGGTCTTCTAATCTCTTCCCTATATTGCAGTACTTTATTCGTGTATCGACCAGCCAACGAATCTGCTGTGATCCAAAAACACAAAAAACAAAGTGATCGTTTTCTTGTTCCAACGCGTTTGTTTACGAGCAACAGCTGTTGGTTCAAAAAATAAGTCGGTTCATTATTTGAGTAGTTCACTATACAGCATGCTCACTATATCGCGAGTCAGTCCTTAAATAACCGCGATTGACTTGAGTCGTACAGGAAATGTTCTCTGTCACCTTCATTATATTTAGAGTAGGTCAGGAACGTGTATAATGCCGTTTTATTTTTATCTATTGCAGGTCATGCTGGATAACATCAAGCACTCAATAGTTCTTCTACAGATTGCCAAGGTAAGATATTCTTAGCATTTTACCAATCACGCAATGTATGTTTTTCATACCCTTTCATCTTTCCGTGTATGTCATAGTTTGTTATGCCACTATTTTTAACTACCCAAGCGTCGGGCGAGCAAGTATTGTAATCCAAAAAAGAATAAAAAATCAGATATGTTTTGGATGTTGTATGAGATGTACAGTATAGCTTTCACACATCATAGACACATTACACATTCGCATACACATACGCATGCGTCCTGGACCGCTCTGACCCATGGGTGGCTACCGTGGCTGGCAAGTGGCGAGGTTAATGATAGAGACGTTGCCAGTTGGTTGGTGCTTTCGGTAAATCTGCGAAGAAATTTCTAGATAGCAACGTCGTCAAATGGGTAAGAACTATGGGCTAATTTAAAGGCACTGTTTGAGTAACTTGATCCAATTTTTTATAAATGTTCGTAGTTAACTTTTTTCTCATAGTGGCCTAACATAATCCTTTATGAACTGACGACAGTATTGCGTGGGAAGTGCAAAGTCAACCCACTGGGTGCAATTTTATTTGAGGAATTTCCGCCAATATAGAATTTGACGCATATACTTACTTCACTATCGGTGGTTTGCACCTCGTTTGATTAAGTGTGAGGGTTATACCCTAGGTTGAATTAGAGCGGCTTTGCACCGTCATGGTTTAACACTGGGTTTATGAACTTATACTTTTTGTCTCGTTGACAACTTTGAAATGTATGGATATTCCTAAGAATAAATACATTCATTTACAATCTTGTAAAGAAAACTAGCTCTGTGTTTGTTTGATATGATTTGAGGTTGACTTGAATTTTGACATTCAGTTCTTGTGTTTTAAGTTCTGTTATTCCTTTCTATAATGTATATTGTATTATGTTTGGAATTGTGTTTTGAATGTTGAATTTTGAAATATTTTTTACTGTATTTATCGGCAAGTCTCCTCATACATCCGACAGACTCGTCTACAAAGGCCGACAAATCTCTATTAGCCTATTTTCAAATTATGGAGGAAGAATTTGACGAGGATGAAGTCGTTCCTCTGGAATTGTTGGATCTTGGTATACCCAGACGAATTTACGAGCAACACGTGTATTTCCAGGAAATGATTAGCTTCACGGGTGCCGGTAAACACGATGAAAAAAATGCAAAGATCACCATATTCGGTGGAGGCATAATGTTTACTTGCGCCCTGATCCGGTCTCCTTGTCATCAGTAATGATTTTTTATTTCTGAATAGTACTCAGCAGAAGTATTTCGTTAGTGAACTTTGTAGTACGAGAATAAGAGTGTTGTCACTTGTCAGTCTTATGGTTCATTGTTTGTGTACTTTATTTGATTATCAAAAGTGCTCAAAATTGACAGAATATATATTTGTCACGATAAAGGGGCTGAGGATTTCTCATGTCCATAGCGTACGGTATTACATTGTGGCGACTCACTTTTTTCGTTCCACCTCACTTTTCGTCATTTTCGTCGCTATTTTAGCTCTTGCTGTACATATTGTAGCTTATGAACGTTTTAGTGACAGCTGACCTCTTCGCTCAAGTCCGACAAAATTAATTGGATATTTTTTATAAAAATTCTTTAGGATGCAGTTTTTATGTTCAGAGTTCCCCAAGCTGAATCAATATGCCCTTCATGAGAAATTATTAGAATTGGTTATATTTTAACTTAACTTCGTTAATGTATGTAGATTATTGCCGAAAAAACTGTATTTGGTCTAAGGCCCGTATCGTCAGTCGTCCCTACAATAATTGTAGGGCGCGTTTATGGCCTCCTTGATTGTCATAGTCCTTCCTCTCCTTCAAAAATTTCTAGATTACACTTGTCCCGTGTCAGCGTCAGCGCTCTCCTATTGTGAAGATATGTTTTCTTTTTAAATTGTAGGAAATTTCAGGCTGATAAAACATGATATAACTCAAAAGCAAGCACAATTTGATGCAAATAGATGTTTGTGACATAACCTCAAAATAGAGTTCTGATACGGAGAAGTAGAAAACTATGACAATCAAGGAGGCCATAAAGGCGCCCTACAATTGTAGGGACGACTGACGCTACGGGCCTAAATCGCTTTCATGTTTTCCTGGCATAATTTAAAGTAGGATTTCAATATAAATCTCATTAACAGGGGCACTTTTAACAAGCTTTCTACAATCAACTTGATCTGTTAGTATGTACAGTAATGGACAAAAGTATATAGACAAATTAATATTGTGCTGAATTTCTTTTTAACTTGTTTTATTTATACACCAACCTGTATACATAATTCGTTATAGCATAATACTCACTTATACATAAATAAATTCATTAGACTCCCTTCAATAAAACTTCTACTAATAACGCATTTGTTTATGGAGCAATGAAGTATGAATTCGTTTTCTAAAAGTATTTAGGTAAATATTCATATTTGTCTATATACTTATGTCCAATACTGTATGTGTGGGACAAATCTTGAATTTTGAACCAGTTAACCTTAACCAATCTATCTAAAAATCTGGTTCGCGTGACAATACACAACGAAATAACTGCCGCCATTTTGATATCCAGTACGGCTTATACTGCAAAATGGTGATTTGTCATTTCCGTGGTAACCTCTATGATATAGATATCAAGAAACACAACAAGCAAAGTAAATTCAATATTGCAACGGCTCCAAAAAGGCGATTCATAATTTCCGTAGTGACCCTATGATGTGGGTATCAGATGAAATGGATTGATGAGAGAAACACAATAAGCAAAGACATCATTTTGTATTAATTATGCGGACCGCCGCAAGATGGCGTTTTTAGTTTCCGTTATCACTCTTCTATGTGGGAAAGAAACAGTAAAGCAACATGACGACTACAAAATGCAATATGGCGACCTCGTAGAATTGCGATTTATAATTTACATAGTCATCCCTATATTATACATCGTATGCATTCGATTATAAAATATACACACATATAAATAATTATTTTTGTCTATATCTAGAAAAGTGACAGAAGATCTTGTAAGACTTATTCTCGTTTTTTCCCAATTTCATTATGATATTGAATTTCTCAGGAAATTAACCCACTTTTTGAATGTATAAACTATTTTGACACTGTTTTTTTCAAAATCTCACGTTTTCGACTTAAATTCATGCTTTGGATTACCAAATAATTTAGAAACGCACCCCTATTCAAAGTGAAGTAAAATTATGTTGAATGCTAATTTCATCTTTTTCAGCTTGTTTAATTTGAATGCACAAACATACATAACCTAACTCAAAAACGAAAACAAAACAGCACAACAAAAATCATAATACAACCCAAGGAAACCTAGTGTTATATCAGCAAATATCTTGTCACTGACTTTAACACCTAGTTCAAATGAGGGATAAATTTACAGTTAGAGAAAGTTAGACCTTAACTCAGGGGTAATTACGGCGGTGCAGAGACTAACTCGGAATTACCTCTAACCTTCACTTTAACCCTAAGGCATGGGTATCATGTAAAAAACCTACTAAACGTCAAAAAGAACCTATAAGATGTCATCTTGCAGGCTAGGTAGTTTTTAGGGCGCAAACAGTCATTCGACGTTTGCTCACTAGGATCGTTGTGAACGCCCATCTAAGGAGGAATCACTCAACTAAACTAAATGCATTACGAGCATTGATTGCATATATTTTGTGAGGCCAAATGGTCCTTGTCTGTAGTGTTTATCTCTGAGAAGAAAGTTGGTTAAATAGCAAGATCGCATCTGGATGATTATGTGTATTGGGCTGCATGTGTATAAAATCAGTGATATTTGCTGTATGAGAAAATCATTACTGAATATGCTGGCAATGAAGTATATCTATTGGCTGTGCCCGACGGGTTATTGCTTTCTGAAAAGAGCTTAGTTATAAATTACGAAAAACTGATGAGAATCACGAGAAACCATCACCGCGCCCGCGTTGTGTGTAATTACTGTTACTATGTATATGGCTTGTAATTCGACAGTGTACAGTGAATATAATTATTTCTTAACTCTCTCATTTTTGAAATTCAGCAAATTTGTATAAATAATTTCCAGAATGGATAAGAAAAAGTGAATGCGCAACTAATTTCTAGCTTTGAATCTCAAATAAGTGTATTTGAGACAAGAGACCAATGTAATTATCATCAACACATACAACTTACAGATTAGACCTCCAGTAATGCGATCTCAGAAGCAGATTTTACATCACATCAGAGCCAAAGATTGATAACAAGCCTCATGACGTTAGGCAACACGTACAACTAAGAGCTAAGTCAACGTCTTGGCGAAAAACCTACATAATGTCAAAAAAAAACAGCATAATGTCAAAATAAAATCGGCATAATGTCACTTTTCAAGATACGTGATACCCGTGCCGGTGCAAACCATCCAGATATCGTCACTGTTTTTGGCAGGTTTTGTACCATTGCCTTGAACATTTTTTGCCATCATATGAATCTTCTATCCTTATCGTTGTTTGGAACTTGAGGAGAATGTGGATGATTGAAATGTTCCTCAGATTTCTATTGTCTATAAGGTTTTCTTATTCACGACGTGTCGATTGATAGTCATCTCCAATCATCATCAGGTGAATTGATAGACAATGGAAGTCCGAGGAACATTTGAATTCCAGGTTTATGCTTGTCACTGTCGCTATGTCGTGGGCGTGACATTTGAGTTTACCTTTTAATCATATTCAATATAACACAGAGGATGCCTGGAAAAACAACTAAAATGTCGGCAGTCTGTCTTAAATTTATAGGAGTATTTTCAGAAATCGAATGAAAAGCAACGGTCCTCTCTATTATCACACTCTGATTATTGTGGTCATTTGTGGAAAACAGACAACCTTGGCCAAACTTTAAATGCTTTGCAGGTTATCTAAAAGAAGTCGTATTCTTGTCTATTTGCCATGACTAGCAATAGTTCTATAGAACGGAAACTCGGTACGTGTCGATACAAACACGATGTAAACCCTTTTGAGATCCGTTATTAGCGAAGGACAAGCTATT